AGGTGACCATCCCGAGGTCTCAGGGACCCTGCAGGAAGCCAGCGACTAGGATGGCATCTTCTCCTTGCCCTATCCGCCCCCGTCACCGCCTCGGCTTGCCCTAACCCCCACCTGTCACCCCTCGGCTTCATCAGTCTTGAGAAGGGTGCTCCCAGTCAACACCGCGGGCTGGCGGCTCACCCAGGGCCAATGGCTCAAGCTCCTGGAGGCCCACTTCTTTGTCTATTAAACGAGGGACATGCATGAGTTGGGGCTCAGGTGGGGACCTGGGGTGCGGGGCTATGGGCAGAGGTTTGCCAAGTCTCGGTGGCCCCAGCTGGCCACACCCTCCCCACAGAAGCCGAGGGGCCACCCAATGTCACTAGTGAGACGTAGACGGACTCCATGAAGGCTGTCACTTCGGGTTGACCTTTAATGCAGCGAATTTGGGAAGAAGGAGCCAGAGCACTGGGTGGAGAAGCCAAACCCGGAGTGTGCCGTGAGGACGAGGCCGCTGGGCAGGTGGGAGGCCTTGTTGAGGCTCCACCCATGACTCGGCAGCCCCGGGGCCAGGGTCCAGCCAAGAGCGCCAGGACCGAGTGCCCCCAGGACCAGCCAGCACACGACTCGGCTCTGCCGGCTGCTCAGAGCTGGGTCCTCACGTCGGCGGCCACCGTTCTGGGCTATGCAAAGACCTGGGCCAGCGTGGCCACACGAGGCTGCTGCAGACACCTCCTGGCTGACCGGCCTCGGCCTGCCACCCAGGCCACGCTGCTGCTCCCGGCCACCACGCGGCGATCCCAGGCGGCACCTGGCTCTGTTCCCGCCGGTCCCGCCTCTCCCCCACTGTGCCCTCCCACCACGCCCCACGCAGCCCTCATGCTACGCTTGCTTCTGGCCCTGGCCATGCAAATGAGAACCTAGAATCTACTTCCCCTCCTTCGGGAGCTGGGCAAGTATTTCCAGTCGGCCATCACCTCCCGAGAATCACCGATGTCACCAGGGTGTCTCCAGCAGGGGCAGGAGGGTGTAGGTCCTCTGTCTTGGTAGGGATCCTTCTCCATCTGCTGATGTCTGGCCCACGACCCACCCCCCGCCCCAGGGTCGGGACAGAGAGTGCAGGCCAGCCAGGGGCTGCCATCCGGGGGTGCTTTGTCCCTGGTCAGTGGCCCTCCCCAGGGGCCGGAGCTGTTCCTCCCCAGTGCCGAGCAGGTTTTGTGGGGAACGTGCCCCAGGCTGAGTGTGGTTGTCATTGCATGGCCTTTGGGACTATGCAGCTGTGAAGGACAAGCAGGTCCCTGGCAGGGGGTCCTGGCAAAGATGGTCTGGGCTTCCCCGGTGGAGCTCCGGGACTGTCCCCCGCCCGCTGTTAGTGCCAGGTGGGCAGGGGGTCCAGGCGCCATCATAGGCATTTCTGGGAAACCAACTAAAAACATCTGACAAAAAGGCGAACTCCCCAAGACCCAATTTTTGCCACGATTTTCTTATTTTATGTAATTTTGAGGCCATCGGAGTTCTTTTCATCGTGCCAGCTCCCACCTTGCTGGCTTGTCCTGGGCCGGGGGCTGCGGGCGGTGTGGCCCCCCAGGCCAGGCCCTTTTCCGCCTTTAGTTTGAGCAGACATTTGGGAACAGGTCTCGGAGCCGTCACTGCTGCCGGCGCGTCTGTCCCGGATGGGTGCCGCGGCCTTGGCTGGCTCTCGAACGAGTTAGACAGGAGCAGTGACGAGGCGGGAGCGAAGGGCGCCGCCGGCCGCGTGTGCGGGCGCTGGTGCGGTGTGTCCTCCCATCGCGCCCGGGCGGCGGAGGCGTGGCCGCGGGCAACCTCGTCGGCTGTGCTCGTTCACGGCCCCTCACTGGACAGGAAGCTCTCCCCGTTAAGCACTCGGCCCCCCGCGAGGGATGAGGGACCCAACGGCCCTGCCCCTCGGGGACCCCCGCCAGAGCCCCCTGCACTCTACCCTACGACTTCGTTCCTGTGTGAGCGCTGCCTGGAGAAGCGACCAGGCCACCCTCCGACGGCAGGGAAGGGGGGTGGAGGGCCGAGGTGGGCGTCACCCCGCGGGGCTGCCATCCGGTAGGTAGGTTAATCTGCGGTCTCATCATCGGCAACGTTAGAGCTGAGACGGGAAGTGGGGAAGGTGACAAGAAAGTGACGAAGGTGTGGCCCTTCCCACCCCTCAGTGCTCAGTCCCAGCGCCCGAAAGCCCCGCGTCCTGCGCTGGGACAGGGAGGGCACCCTGGCGAGTGGCGGTTCGGCGCCAGAGCCGGGCTCTTCCCAAGGCCGGTGTCCTCGCGTGTCGCCCGGGGCGGGCGCGCCGGGGCCGGGAAGGGGGGCGCCGCCACACTGTCCCCTCACTTCCACCTCGTTCTGAGGGAAAAGCTGAGACGCTCGACTGCGCGAGCTTGCGCACGAAACCGAATTTCGCGGGCGGGGTTTCCATGGCTTATTGCCGTGGTCCCGTCCGTTTCAACGGCTCACATTAGGAGCTTGAAAAGAAGCTGCGGGGCTGAAGGGCGAACCCCACCGCAGGCGGGTTTCTGTGAGGCCACAGCGGACTGAGCGCCCTGGGAGGGGCGCGGCCGAGTCCCGGACGCGTCAGCCCCTGGCCACCGAGGTGTGCGGGGCAGGGCGCAGACCAGAGCACCCTCCTCCTCAACACGCTCCGCAGCGCACCCGGGGCCGTGGCGAGCTGCGAGGGTGCGGGCGGAGGGGTCGCGGTCCCCGCCCCCCGAGGACGAGGAAGAGGACGCTCTGCCCGAAGCCCAGGCAGCGCAACGCACGGCGAGGAAAACACCAAACCGAAACTGCTGTGGAGCCGAGTGTAGCATTCGTGCGTTTATTTTTGTCGACAGCCCCGCAAGGGCGGCCCGCGATCTGGCACCGGTCGCTGCCGGCTGAGGTCCCTGCCTCGGGGCTCAGCGGCTGGTGGCGGGCCCTCGTCTCCCCTCCGCGCACCCCAGGAGGGCGCCAGGGCCTGGCAGCTCGGCGCTCCAGCTCCGCAGCACGTCCCAGGGGACAACTGAAGACGGGAGACGAGGGCCTGCAGGCCTGACGCCACCAGAAGGGCTGAGGGGTGCAGGCCCGAGGGGCGTGGCTCAACCTGACGCCGAGGGCTCTGCAGGAGCACTGAGGCTGGGGTGCCAGCGAGAGGGAGGGGGCCGCAGGGTGTCGCTTACAGCACGCTGGCAGAGGACCCGGGTGGACGTACAGCTTGTGACGGGGGACCCGGGGCGTGTGACGGGGGACGTGGGAGTGGGGATCGGGCCCTCGGGCGTGTGACGGGGGACCCAGGGCGTGTGACGGGGACCCGGGGTGTGTGATGAGGGACGTGGGGTATGTGACGGGGTCCTGGGCAGAGGCAGGTGTGGTGACATGGTTGTTGGGGCAGAGGGCAGCCGTTATCCCCGTGGGAATGAAAGTGCAGCCCGAGTGACTGCTGCGGGGCGGGTGGCACAGGATGGCGCACATACATGATCCAGTCATGTGGCCCGGGGCCTCAGTCGCCCCACATGTAAGAGCGGTGTGCCTGTCACACACAGGCCCTGCCCTTTCTGACACAGCGCTCGGCGCTCTGTGAACCTGGAGTGGATGCCGCCCAGAACATCAACATTAGAGCTATTTTCTAACCTTCTGTAGAAAGAAATTTTTCTGTATAAGGCCTAGGTTTTCTTCAAAACACTCAATATTTGGTCAACCATGCTTGAAGTTTAATTAGGACACAATCATTACATTTTCAGAAAAAGACTAAATATTCCCTTTCGTAAGATATATTGTACCCTATTTCAGAATGGATAAGATTCATGACGTATGTGCAGTACAGATCACAAAAGCCCAAGGGAGCCACAGAACACGAGGACGACACCTGTGTCCCCACCCGCCTCCCGCCCTCGGACCACTGCAGACCTCCACTTCGTGTCCATGCTCGTGGTGTGGGAACTTTACAGCAACACCTTATTTTTCGAATCTTCGAAGGCGTGGCTAATGTTTGCCTGACAGTTCACATCAGCGCAGGTGTTTTAAGGCTGTCTATCATCTAGCCTACTATAAATGACATTTTACGTTAAGGAAAACGGAAACCCTCGAAAAAGTCCTTGCTTCACTAAGATGACCACACGGCTGCTTTTGCG